AAATCTTTTATGTTAAGATGGAAAGGGCAAACATTAAAGGAATGCTATTTCTCTTTCAGCTTCTTCTTTTTTAAAAAAATTGTCAGGCTCACTGCAAACTACATGTGTGGACACTGCACGTAAATAAATCATGGAGTCTGTTATCTAAATTAACAGTAAATTTATTTTATAAATGTGTCTTTCCTTATATATTTTGGGGTGAATGTTCTCAAGAACAAAGTTATAAAAGCAAGATGTCTGAGCAAATGCAGCGTAGCAGAAATGATCTGTAAATTGTTTATTCGTTGTTGTTTTTTCCATTTAAAATCCCAAGTTTCTTTTAAAGAAAACAACAGAAGAGAAACCCTCATAAAATTTTACTCAACAGAGCCAGAATCTTTCTGGCATCAAAAGAATGCATTGCTTTTTTTAAAAAAGAAAAAAGAAAAGAAAAGAAACTAGAGAGAAAAAAGTATTTTATCATATGATTTTCTCTAAAAAGAACTACCCCTTCTCTGACTAAATTACTTAAGTGCTACTCAAGATGCAGTTCTAAGGAACAAATCAAGTTCCTGAGTGATGATATAAGCAATATATGTGGATTCCCTCCCCACCCCCCCACCCCCCTAGGGCAAAATAACATGTTGTTATTTTGCAAGCCAAGCAGAAGTCAATGAAGGGCTGATTAAACTTGAACATATATCTTGTGTGTGGCTTTGGTCATAAAGCATGGAGCCAGGGACCAATTTATAGTGAGATTGGAATGGCACTGTTCTACGTTTTCCATGAGAGACAATATGCTTCTGAATACCCGATGCTGGGAATTGCAGGTGGGGAAGAATGCTGTTGTGCCCTGGTCTTCCTTGCAGGCTTCTCAGAGGCATTTGGTTGGCCACTGTTGAGAATAGGATGCTAGACTAGATGAGCCATTGGCCTGACCCAGCAAGGTCTTGTTATGTTACTATGAGAAGAGCGCATCTTCAGCCAGAACAGGTGGCACCTTGCATGATGCTGCAGATAACCAGTGGGGAGCAGTTGCAGTTTCCAGGGTCTCAGACTGAGTCCTATGTTGGAAAAGTACATTGCATCTGCTTTTCCTCTAGAAGATCCCTCATTCAATCAATAGCATTTCCAAGGAGCAGTAGGGAGGACTTCTGCCTGAAACCCTGCTGCCAGTCCGTGTAGACATAACTAAGGTAGATGGAGCAAACTAAGCTTGTGAGCATGCTGAACAGCAAACAGGCACAGGCAAAACAAGATTAAGATGAAGAACAAGATATCCTTCCTTGGAGATTTTTTAAGCAGAGGCTGGGTGGCCACCTGTCTTGGTTGCTTTAGCTGAGATTCCTGCATTGCAGGGGGTTGGACTAGATGGTCCTTGGGGGTCCCTTCCAACTCTATGATTCTAAGTCCCACCATTTGCAATGGGTTTAGTTAATTTTGGTTAAAGACACTAAAAGCTGCAGTACTTAACTCAAACTTACCTGGGAGGAGTATCCTCCATTTAACTCGGGACTTGCTTCTGAGTAAACCTGCAGAGGAGTGTCCTGTGGCTTTGGTTGGATCACACACAGGGTAGTTTTAAGTGACTCATTCCGTTAGGGCAAGGATTTTGTCCCTGTACAATTATGGAACTTCTGCCTCCTCCCTGGGAACTCCCGAAAAGATCCATATTTTGGGAGGATGCATTGTACATGCAGGGGCAGGAGAGTTCCAATACACAAGCATGAATCCTTGTGCTAACGGAACGAGTGCATTGGGTCCCGCCCACAAAGCTATCTTATACTGCTCTCCCTGTGCATAACGGTTTCTTTTCTGGCTTGTGGAATAAACAGGGTTCTGTGGATTTGATGGAAAATAAAGCTGTCCTCTTCCACCACAAAAGGATGCCAAATGGTAAAGTGATTGTATCCATAGGACTCTGTGGGAGTCCTAAGAGCCCTATGCTGATCTTGCCCCAGTGACTGTGGTGGGATTGAGACCCTCTGGTGCAATAGGATATGTGCCATTAATAGGCCACATAAAGGGCCTTCTGATTATATAGTTTCTGGATGTGTTGGCAAGGAAAGAGTAAGAACCACTTCCAGCAAACCAAAGGAGCGGAAATGCTACATGATTTCCTCTGTGTGTGTGTGTGCGGTTTCCTCTAAGTTGTTTCCGTCTACTGGTCCTAGACATTGTTGGGAAAGGAAAGGAAAGACACACACACACACACACACACACACACACACACACACAGTCGTTAAAAGCTGTTAATAACTATGCTTGAAGAGGAAAGCCCTTGTATTCAGGGTTTGACACATGCTAGGACAATTAGTGTGGCCATCTGCAAAGGAAGACCTAAAACTGTGATGTACCATTTTTTACATGGCATGAATGTCTATGGGGGGGGGGGCGAAACAAACAAACGCTAAAAATAATTTTAATCAGGTTTGGGCAACATTTTTACCTACTACTGGGTTTGGGAGGGAAGGAGACAATCAACCCCACCACCATGACTTTCTTTGAGCTGGAATGTCTAAAATAAGAACCCCTTACTTCAACTCCATATGAGAAACACCCCCCCCCTTTTCTCCAGGATCATTAGGAGGTTTATTTGAATTGTTGCTTTGGGAACCATTTTCACACCACCAGACAATGGTTTAAAACTTTTAAAACACCAGTTGGATGGTTGATGGGGGCTTTTGATCAAAGCAATGTAAAGGAGCCATCTAACTTTTGTTTTCTCCAAAAGGTCACTGAGTGGCATAAATCAGCCAGTCGTCTCCTACTGTCCCGCTTGGTAACTCCACAACTGTCCTCAGTTGGAGTGCTCAGTTGCAGGAGTGCTTGCAGCTCTGTGGCCAAACCTACACTTCGTTTGCAAGGCAGTGCCTGGTTTGATTCCTGACATCTCCACTTTAAAGCAGATCTCAGGTAACAGACCTGATAAAGTTTTTGGAAAGCTGAAAGGACCCAGAAGACAGGGCCGGAAAGATGGACTGACATTGACATTAAAATGCTACTTAGGGCCCCTCCATGCAGGTGTTTTATTATGGGTATATTGGGCAAAAGGTTCTTGACACAGTCATGGTGGGTCTATTCTGATAGAATAGCTGTTCTGAGGTGCTTCCCCAAAGCTACTGCATTAGCCACATTTACACCATCTTTTAAAGCACTATGATACCACTCCAAACAATCATCATGGCCTGCAAGTGCTCCAGTTGGAAAGTAGCCTTTACCAAAGACATCATGGACTTTGAAGAAGCACAAATGCAGGATGAAAGGGAGAAACGTGCTAAGAGGAAGGCACATTTGGTAAACCCTCACTGTGATCAACTCCTGCCCAGAAACCTACGTCCCCACTGTGGAAGGACATGTGGATCCAGAATACAGAATATGACAATCATGTATAGACACACCAACCATGTTAATGGAAGACAACCTTACTCGGCTATGAGTGATCACCAAAGAAGAAAGTAGTTTATTACGAGTGCTGAGAGTTGTTAGGAGTCCCATATTCCCCTCACAGAGCTACAATTCTCAGAGTTCCTCATGAAGAGGGATTGGTTGTTAGACCACTCTGAGAACTGTAGTCTGTGAAAGGAATGGGGACTGCCTAAAAACTCTCAGCACCCTTAACAAACTACAGTTCCCAGGGTTCCTTGGGGGAAGGCATGACAAGTGGTATCACAGTACTTTAAATGCATGGTGTGAATGTGGTAATTATTGCCGCACAACAAAAGCAGGGCAAAAATAAATTAGAAACATTCTTGGTAAACTTCGCAGGTGCAAATGGTATTCAAACAAAGCATGATCATGTATGGCTGCCCCAATAGCACCATGAGCATGAATCATCATGAATGTGCACTGAAAATGGTGTCTGGAGGGGCCACAGTGGTAGTAGTGTAGGCACTCTCTGAGCCACCTCACCCACAGGACTTAACCCTGGGATCAAATGCTTTCCAATAAACCAAAGCTGAGACCATATGAGATCAATAGGCAGGAAAAGAGAGGAGTGCAGGGTAAGAGGAAGTGGTATTGCACCAGCCCTGAAGAAGTATTTGTTTATTGCAAAGATTTCAGGGATTACAAAAAAGTCTCTATCCAGCAAGACATATATTTCTGCCCCTCGTGGTCAAGGTTGGACAGAAGATTTTGCCCTCCCCAAAACAATAGTCACAAGTGCAGTATTTAATGTTTCTCTGTGCAAGCGCAAAAGGGCACCTTCACAGACACAAGGGTGCAAGCTAAACCTTCTCTCTGCCTTTGGGGACTACAGTGACTATTAAAAGTTCTATTGTTCTATTTGTATAGCCCCACCCCTTTCATTTGCATAAAATGGATTCCTCTCCATACGCCACCACACTTTAATAGGAAACAAAGCTGTCTTTTCCATTGTGAGCTTGGGAAAGCTTTCTTCAGTCATGGTAAAGAACAACAACTTTGGAGAGGAAGATGCACAGTATCTGACTAGGGACAGAGTAGCAGTTTAAAAAAATATAAAAGTAAAAGACTCCTGGACAATTAAGTCCAGTCAAAGGCAACCATAGGGTGTGGCGCTCATCTCGCTTCAGGCCGAGGGAGCCGGCGTTTGTCCACAGACAGCTTTCTGGTTCATGTCGCCAGCAGGACTAAACTGCTTCTGGTGCAATGGAACACTGTGATGGAAACCAGAGCACATGGAAACGACGTTTACCTTCCCACAACAGCAGTACCTATTGATCTACTTGCACTGGTGTGCTTTTGAACTGCTAGGTTGGCAGGAGCTGGGACAGAGCAACGGGAGCTCACTGTATTGCGTGGATTCGAATTGCTGACTTTCCAATCAGAAAGCCAAAGAGGTTCGGTGGTTTAGAACTCAGTGCCACATGCATCCTTTAAAAAATACCTGGCTCATGAGTAAAAGCAGGAGATCAGGCAAAGGAACATGCAACTCTGCCTTGTGCTGAATCAGACCATTAGTCCATCTAGTTCAGTATGTTATCTGAATGATAGCAGCTCTTGGGGGTTTCAGATGTAGAATCTTTCCCAGCCCTAACCTGATATGTCAGAGATTGACTTGAGGACCTTCTGCATGCAAGACAGATGCTTTACCACTGAGCCACAGCCCTCTCCTGAGTGAATGAATATATGGGAGGAGCCTAGAGAGGATGCCAAGTCAAAAGGGTGGAGTCTAATGATTCCATCACAGCACAAGGTCAAATGAAACCATTTTCTAAGCCCTTGAAATACTGGATTTATTCAAGAAAGTACTCAACACTGAAGGTCAAAATGCAAAGCAGGTGGAAAATATACCTGGCAGTTGGTAACTGTATCTAGGGAGGCATGCAAGAAGTTTAAGGCTCAAGGCCACAGCCCAATGCATTTGTCCTTCCAGCCTGCTCCGCCCCCCATTCTTTTTGCTCTTGGGCGTACATGTTTCTTAAATTTAGCCTTCCAGTAATTGCCTCCGGTGCTCCAATCTGCTCAGGCTTTCTGCACAGCACACAAGCTGCTTTCACACTTCATAATTTAAGAAGGCCATGCGATCCTCTGCCCAGATTTCTCTCCCCCCCGCCCCCACTGCCCAAACATAAAAGATAGTTTTATTTATTTATTTATTTATCTGCTCCAGAGAAAGGCTAGTCTCTCAGTTGGCTGCTTTTACACAGACCCAGAAACACCATAAGTGGGGGAAAGAAAGTCCTTTCCAAAACCAAAAACCAAGAGCTCAAGTCTTTCCTTCCCAGGATCAAAGGACGGGTCTTGCCATGCTAACTGTAAAAATGTGCTTGCTTCAAACAGGACAGTCCTCTATTTGAAGGCACCCTCTAGTTGAAGAGCTGTCCAGTCTAAGCCACTTCTTTCTGCCCAAAGGAGGGTTTGTCCAGTGTTGTTGTTCGGCCAAGCTAATCTGCAATTAATTTTAAATTGCTCACAGTTCATAACAGAAACAGAGAGAAAACAATGCAATGTCAACAGCAGCAACAACACCACACCCTCAAAAGACAATGTTCCAAGATGTTGTGGGGTTTTTTAGTCTACTGGCAAGCGTCTATCAGGGATAAAAATGCATTCTCATCATGACATGCCTGCTCACTTGATTTGTCTCCCAACTGTAAAGGAGCCTGGAAGGATAGTCACAAGACTGGGATTAGCAGAGAATGAACAACCAAACAGCCAGGGTGAAAGATCACCTACCAATCAAAGAAGCGGGGAAGAAATGACAATGAAACCAGCAGTGCACACAACAGCTTTGTTGTGGGTCAGATGGAAATCAGTTACATGACACCTTGCAGGAAAACACAGTTAACAGTTTACCATGAATGCACAGAATGTTCCTGCTTTGCTCCTTCCTTCTAGGCAGCAGGCATAACAAACCATAATCTCTAGCTTGGCATTATGACTGAACTGGGGACTATGGCTTGTTTGGAGTAAAACAAGCCACAATCCCCAGTTCAGACATAATGCTAAGCCAAAGTTTGGTCTTGGCTTACCAATCATGCAAAGCCAATCATGACTTCTGGTTCATAAAGAATGCTAAGCCAAAGGTCATGGTTTGTTGCTCTTGCTGGTGAGAAAGGAGGAGTGCAGCAAGAGTGAGTGCCACATCCACAGGCCACCATTAAATAGGGTTTACTATGACAGGTCCCATGGGCCATTGACTCAATTCAGACTTTACTCCAAATTGTGGTTTGTGATATTTAGAACCCACACCATGGTTTGAGTTTACAAACGTACTGCAGGCAAACCATGGCTTTGAGGTATCTGTTTAATTAATTTTTTCCTCTGCTCAGAGCTCACCTTCATAAGTTCACTCCTGTCTCCATGGTGCGGCAGCTCTTGACGCACAGCAGTGGTGTGTCTGTGAATTCAGAAAGATAAGCAAACCACCCCTAGCACAAATGATGGCTAGGGAAGCCCTCATGAACTATGGTTTGTAAGCAGGCTAGCTTGCCAGACCAAGGTTTGGTGTAATGTCTGAGTATAGCCATTATGTCCAGGATTTCAGTTTTGTCAATATGCCATGAAATATATTGAGTTTTGTTCATTACCTTATAGACTTGCCCATACGTCCCATTTCCAACAACTTGTACTAGTTCAAATATCCCTGCTGGATCCTGAAAAAAATAACAATAAAGAAACACATTGATTAATTTTACCTAAAGAACCAAGCTATTTTGTCCTATATGATTCCATCTCTTGGAATCAGATTATGAAGAATTAGGGGTACAACTCATTTGGAAGGTCTCCTGCACAAGCTTATTTGAAATGAATGGGACCTGCACCACAGCCAGTTGGGCACACATGCATACATGATAGATGTGTCCTATTGCAGTCCTACTGCAGCCCTACCCAATCTGGTGCCATCCAGATGCTGGCATGGCCTATGGTCAGGGGTGATGGGAGTCCAGCAACATCTGGAGGGTGACAGGTTGGGGAAGCCTGCCTTTTTCAAATTCATTGGGGTGAAGGAAGCATTTCCTCCAAAGAGTTAATGGCGTAGATTTGTTAAAAGCCATGTGGGCCAAAGCAGGTCCTGGAATGTGGAAATGCCAGTGTAAGGGAGCCACAGCTATTCTTGTAAAGCATGGAGAGAACAGAAAATTAAACTGTGCTCAACCTCACCCAAGCCAAATGCAGGCAACCCAGTTTTCTAAAAACAAAAAGTTTGGAAGGAAGATCATGGGGAAGCCTGTCCAAAATCACAGAGGAGCCAGTGCCAAACTGTTGCAGTACAAATACTCTGGGGTTTCAAAGGGCAGTGCCTAAAAACTTGACCAGCAAATGTTGCTTCATTTGAGACTGCAAAAGAGGATTGTTTAAATTAAGGTTACCAGATTTTTTTCAATGAATCCGGGGACGCTTTTCAACTTCAATGGATTTTGTCCAGGGACTGATTTGTAAATCCGGGGACTGTCCCCGGGAAACAGAGACGTCTGGTAACCTTAGTTTAAATATCACCTCCTGAATTTAGAAGTTGGATCTACCTGCTGCTTCTGTCAAGGTCACAAGCTTGAAAGTAAAAGAAAACTATCCAAAAACAGTTTGGGTACTTGAATGCTTACATTTCAGCAAGACAGCAAAGCCAAAAGGACAATCTTGATAACTAAAAATGTGCTTTTGTCCTGATGTGGTTGATTTCCAGCTATTATCTTGCAAAGTCTAAACCATGTGTAGGCAAACGAAGGCCCACAGGCTGGATAAGGCCCAATTGCCTCCCATGGCGGCGGCAATGGTGGCACCTCCTCCCTCCCTGGCTTCTCCCTGCCCTGCCTAGAGGAGGAAGGGGGCTGGGCTTTGTTGGTGCAAGCAGCAGCAGCAGCAGCGCTCAAGCAGCCACCATTTTAAGCAGTCCCTCTCTGGAGCCCTTTCGTGCTCTGCGCCGCCACCAGCCCCTGATGCTCGCAAGACACAGGTAAGCAGCCACCGCGGCTTGTGGTGCTCTTGCATCATTTCCCCCCCAAAAATATAGTCCAACCCCCAACAAGGTCTGAGGGACAGTGGACCGGCCCCCTGCTGAAAAAGTTTGCTGACCCCTGGTCTACACTGATGTGCAAGAAACCCTTGACGTTCCATCATTCATTTTATATACAAGAAAGTTTACCAGTAAAAGAGTCTTGGAACAGCAATAACCTTCAAGTCAGAGGGAAAATACTTAGATGTAATCAGGATGCTCTTATTTCTTAGGATAAAACAGCTAATTATTTAACTTAGGTTTTTGACAGATTATTTGGGAGGTGCAGGGTACTCTTTACAAAAGAGAAAGTGGGTTGTTTCCCCTTTTAATGTTGTTGAGTTTATTTGCATTTTATTGTAAGCCCCCTAAGATCTGATGGACAGATTGGATAATCCAAGAACAAACAAGTTAATAATAGGATTTTATTTATTTATTTTTAAAATCGACTTCTCGTGCTTTCAAGCATAAAGAAAACAAAACCAAAACTGCAAAGTCTTGGCTTCCACCTGGTTTAAATATAAAGGAAACACAGTATGCTCTGGTTTCCTGTACAGGTTTCTGTCTCACAGTTTTACAGAGGAGCATGAATATGGCAAGTTAGCTTTCGTGGCATCCAGGACAGCTGCCTTGCTCCAGCCTTTTGGACTCCTCATCCAATGATAAAGACGAAGCAAGAAGAGCAGCATATGGCACAGTGCATTACAGTAATTAACCTCAAAGTGATTAATGTTTGGGTCAGGATTTTGGCATCTGCCAAAGGAAATGTAGCAAACTTGGCAGTAGCTGGATAGCAAGGGGCCATACAGACCCTGGAATACCAAATGCTGTTGGAGAGGAAGCTCTATATCAAAGACACGTCCAGCTCTGAGACAATTAGGAACTTGGCCTGGTTGGAGGGCTAAGCTGTAATAGACCGTAGAGTGCTCCAATCAGAACAAGGACAGATCCAAGGACTAAAGTCAGAGCCCAGCATAAGGTGTCTGCCGTCTGTAACACAAGGGCCAACGGATGGCAAAAAGTCATCTCCATTTTCAAGCAGGCTTGTGCGCAGTGACTTGCTTATGATGAGTGAGAGCTGGCCTCTTTGCAAACAGGCGATGGAATTCCTGTGTACTGTGAGAACTTCGGTGCCTTTCTTAGTGAAGGAATTACAGTGGTACCTCAGGTTACATACACTTCAGGTTACATACACTTCAGGTTACATACTCCGCTAACCCAGAAATAGTGCTTCAGGTTAAGAACTTTGCTTCAGGTTGAGAACAGAAATTGTGTTCCGGCAGTGCGGCAGCTGCAGGAGGCCCCATTAGCTAAAGTGGTGCTTCAGGTTAAGAACAGTTTCAGGTTAAGCACGGACCTCCGGAACGAATTAAGTACTTAACCCAAGGTACCACTGTATGTCCAAGTGGTAGAACATAAACAGAAGGCCCAAGTTAGGATGAGTCCTTCCGTGATGGGTAAAAGGACACCCCTTCCATACTGAAGCCAATTAGACCATGGGTAGGCAAACTAAGGCCCAGGGGCCAGATCTGGCCCAATCGCCTTCTCAATCCGGCCCGTGGATGGTCTGGAAATCAGCGTGTTTTTACATGCGTAGAATGTGTCCTTTTATTTAAAATTCACCTCTGGGTTATTTGTGGGGCACAGGAATTCGTTCACCCCCCTCCAA